AAATACCAAGTGTGTCGGTTTCCTGAAAAAAGAGAATTGGGAAGCTTCACAGGAAGGAGAGAGGCCAAATAGAAGGCCAACGAGGGTGATCCTGACCTGCCGAGCCTGGGAGAACTTGAGAATGTTCAGCTAGCTGGTGCAGGTGCTAGCCTGTGTCCACCACAGCCTCTGCCCTCATCCTGGCCTCTACCCCTAGGGAAGCTGACAGGCATGAACGAGATCACAGAGAAGCTTACACTGCCAGACACCTGTCGGAGTGACCACACAGTGGTGCAGAAAGTGACTGCCACTGCCAACCTGGGTCGGGTTCCTTGCGGGACATCTGATGAGTACAGGTACTAGTAGAGGGGCCGAGGTGGGCTCTGCTGGGGCCTGGCTTGAAGGGGGGCCCCAAGCCCCAGGGCTGAGCCCCTTACCGGCAGTCACCCTCGGCAGTTCTGCGCCCACCCCTTCCTCTGCTCCCACCTCAGGTTTGCAGGGAGGACCCTGACTAGTGGGAGCTTGGTCCTGCTGACTCTGGATGCCCGGCCAGCTGGACCTGCCCAACTGACCGTCAACAGTGAGAAGATGGTGATTGGCACCATGCTGGTGAAGGATGTGATACAGGCTCTGACCCAGTGACTCCTCAGTACTGTGACCTCATTGATCTTCACCTGTCCTTCCCTGTGACATCTGCTCACTCATCTCTCCCCTATCCTTCCCTCCCTCGCTCCTTCCTCCATCCTTCTACCCACCTGGTGTGGGGGCACTGTCTCCCTCCCGCCTGTTTCCCATGGGTTCCTTAGTGACTCTGCAGGGGAAGACAGTAGCTGCTCCTTCAGCTTTCTGTAGGTATTTATGTAGCAAAATCTCAATAAAATGTCTTCTCCCTAGGTTCTGGCTCCGCTTTCCTTCTAAGGGGTTGGGGGAGGAACTACTAAGAGCGACTCTGTTTGACCCTGGTGACCCCATGGGGAAGCTCTTCGTGGCTCTCAGGGAGACTCCGGTTGACACCTGAAGTGAGCACCTCTGGGCAGGAGTGTGTTGGTATCTCTGAGCATGGGTAGATGGGAGCTGGAAGAATTCCTCAGTTTCAGCTGGGTTTGATATCACTGGCCTGAAATCCCAGCACTTGCAAAGTGAAGGCAGGAGGACCAAGTTCAGGGTTGTCTTCAGCTACATAACAAATCCAAAGCCAACCTAAACTGCATAATCTCTGTCTCAAAGGTTTTTTTTCTTGGTTCTCTCTCTCTCTCTCTCTCTCTCTCTCTCTCTCTCTCTCTCTCTCTCTCTCTCTCTCTCTGTATGTGTGACTGTGTTGCACATTTGTGGGCATACTCGTGTGTGTACACATAATATGCAAGTGTGTGTATGTGTACATGCATGTGCATGTCTAGGTCTAAAGTTGATGTAATCATTCTTGCTCATTCTTCCAACTTACTCACTGACGCAGGGGCTCTCAATCACACCCAGAGTTCACTGATATGGTTAGTGTCCCCAACCAGCTCGCTCTGGGAATCCTGTCTCCACCTTCCCAGGCTGGAATTACAGGTAGGCTGCCACACACGTACAGTATTTATGTGTGTTTGGGGGTCCTTCCACTTGCCTGGCAAGCACTTTAACCACTGAGCCCGATTCCCAGCCCCCTCCCCACAGTCCTTTTCTAAGTCTGAGCAGAAGCAAGTTCCCATTAGTGGCTGGCAGTTTGCCTTGGTTTCCCTCATAAGCCCCTTGGGAAGAAGGGACTAATCATGTGGGGAATTCTATAAATAAAGATGTGCAGTTCAAAATACATCAATTATATCTGGATAGAGGGCCTGGAGATTTACTCCCCTCCAGCTTGGCCCGTGACCCAATGGCCATCTTAGTGGAAGAGGAACAGAAGATATATAGTCATGCTTCTCAAGATACCTTTCTTCAGTCTCTTGGGGATCCTGTTCACAAATAGATTCTGGGGCCAGTCAGGTTAGCTGAGCATTTCCAAGCCTAATGCCCCGAGTTCAATCCCCGAGACACACCTGGTGGGAGGGAGAACCAATTCCTTCAAGTTGTCTTCTGATTTCCACACTTGTGCTGTGGCACAACATCCCCCTACCCCCCACTACACACAGACATAAAATAAATGTAGAAAATGTAAATATAATGCAGTCTTTAAAAAACAAACAAAATCCAGATTCTGAACACTCCGTCCTGAGTATACACCGTGGCACCGTTGAGCGCCTGACACAGAATAGTGAGGATTAGGGTCTCCACACTTGGGACAAGCCTGGTGCCCTTCCCTGATGCCTTTCCCAGTGAGAAAACAGGCTGAGCGAGCAACAGGGATTCAATCACCATGTGTTCAACCAGAAAAAAAATATTATGATCAAATAAGTTTGGGAGGAATTACTAATTCAAATGAAGTAACTATTTCCCACAGGCCTTCTCAGAACCTTGACTATTCTAATGGGGCTCATGACTACCCCTCTCCCCGAAGTGGGACAGGAGCTTGCACTATTACTTGGGCTTGGTATTTTTTCCCTTGGGATACTTTTCTCACAGGACGCTGTGATTGACTGTGCTGTGGAGAATAGCCTTTGGGCACAAATAGCTTGAGGTGTTGAGGCAAAGCTTCTGATCCTCTGTGGCAAGACTCTAGGTCCTTGTATATCCCGGAGCCCTGCCACTTAGGTGCCCATCTGCTCAGAAGTATGCCAGGGGAGATAGGTGTGGCCCTCCTGTCGGGGAAAGAGAACAAAAGCAGTCCCAGGGGACAGCCCTGCATCTGGCTCTGGGGATTTGCCAGGCACTGTGGCACCAGACAGCAGCTGGAGCTGCTGGTTTCAGGAGAGCCTGGAGGCCCTGGATTCTACCCCCAGGATTTCTGTTTTTATCACTGTTTGGGCTGAGGTGGGACTTGAATGCTGGACTTAGACTAATTTTTACCTCCGAATCAGCTTTGATAAAGGTTAGAGGCAAATCTCTAAGAAATATCAACACAGATTGGGAAATTGCTCTGTGTAAAGTAGTTGATACACAAACTTGAGAACCTGAGTTTGAATCAAACCTGAGTTTGAATACTCACATATAAATCCAATCTCAGGATCCCAGGGACTCACTGGTTAACCAGTCTATCCAAAACAGTGACCTCCTCCAATTTCACTAAGAGACTTTTATTTAAAGGGGGGGGGGGTGGAGCCGTGGAGGAAGACACCAGATGTCAGCCTATGGTCTCTGCATAAGCACACATTTGCGCACCGCACGTGCAATTATTGATCTTGGGGTACTTTTCTCACAGAGTGTTTTAATTGACTGGGATTGTGGAGAATAGAAGTTCTTAGCTATCCAGGCTATCTCAGATCTTTGAAGACCTTGGTATGCACTGAAAATATGAGACTGTAGCTCACCTTTTCCAGTTTTAAATATTCTTCACAAAGTTTTAAACTTCAGTGTGGACAACTTTATCATTGCCCTTCGTATTTTACTCTTATTTTTAATTTATAGAATTTGTCCACAGGCTGAAGCAATAAAAATGCTCTCTCCCAGGCTGATAGCATATACTTATAATCCTAGCACTTGGGGGAAGAGAATTTCAGTTCAAGACTATCCTGGGCCATATGGTGAGATCCTGTTTCAACAAATCAAAACAACAAATGAAATAAAGATGTTTATTCTTTATTTTCCTCTTTAAAATTCCAAGAACAGCTTTTCACATTTATATATTTAACCTATTTAAAATTTACATTTATATATGATAAAAAGCAGTGTTGATCCACTAGCTTTTAAAAAAAAAATTTAAAAAATGCATTAGATTTAAAAAAAATTATTACTCTGTGAGCACACGTATTTGTGTGTGTGTGTGTGTGTGTGTGTGTGTGTGTGTGTGTGTGTGTGTGTGTGTGTGTAATGTGCAGGTGGAGGTCAGAGGACAACTTCGTGTAGATGGTTTTCTCCTTCCACTTTTCCGAGGGTTGTGGGAATGGAGCTCAGGTCATTTGGCTTTTTGAGGACCACTTTATTCACCGAGACATCCTGCCACACTGATCTATTTTCTGTTATCAAAACAAACAACAAAACCCTAGCATTTCTTCAATGAAGAGCTGGATGAAATTTGAACTTGAATGAGACTTCATGTCCATCTTCCCTTGTGGTCTGGATTTCCTGGATGATTTTTCTCTTCTGATCTCTTGCAACTAGGAAATCACTTTCTCCCAGTAACCTCCTTTATTCTTTTAGCTTTCTGCCTCCTGTGCCCTGTGCTTTTATATGTGAGCACATAAAAAACTATAGTCCCTCCTGCCCCCTACGCCACGCAATTTAAAACTGAAAACAGCCCATCAGTTACACTTAAATCTAACTGCAGAGACAGCGCCAGGCATAGCTGGACTCAAAGGCTGTTTGTTGACTGGGAGAATGGATAATTCTCCTGGTGTCTGCTCGCTCCTGACACTTCTGCCAGTGACCAGCTGTGGTGACTTGACCAAGTCGTTTGATGTCTCTGCTGCCATCCTCTTCCACACTGTGTGGTAGATAGTGGGTGCCTTCTAGTCAGGACTGTGCTTTCTGCAGAACCTGTAGGGCTCGCCAAGGATGCACCCTACTCCCCAACCCCATTCTGGGAGCAACAACTCACCTGAGGCCGTAACTAAAATTTGAACCCTACTTCTTCTCTTCCCATCATCAGTGAGCTCTGACACTTGACATGGAAGTACACACGTAAAGGTGCTGAAGGTAACCTGGGCGTGGTGATGCACACTTATATCACAGCACTCATGAGGCTGAGGCAGGAGGATCAGAGGTTCAAGGCCAGTGTGAGCTACATACATATTGAAAGCCTGTTCAAAAAACGGGATGGGGGGGGCAGGGGCAAGAGGGCTCACCAGGTAAAGTAGCATCTGCCACCAAGCTTGATGACCTGGGCTCAAGCCCCATGGCCTACACAGTGGAAGGCGAGAACCGACTTTTTCAGGTTGTCTTCTGACTTCCACGTGTGTCCATATAGACACACAAATAAATAACAAATGTAAAAAGGGAAAGGAGGCTGGAGATGCTAGGCATTGTATTTTCATAGGCTATGAAAACAGAAAACTGTCCAGTTTGAGTTCTTGCTTTTCCCCTGTTGGCAAGGGGTCCTGGAGCAAGTCACTTACTGCTGCCTTTTATGGTTTCCTGGGGACTGGCCCTGGAGTCTGGTTCGTACTACACAAGCACTCTTGATTATATTCCCAACTCTACTCTCAAGTCTGGGGTGTCGGTGGCAGGCCGGGGTGGGGGCACACAGGCTCACCAAGTTGTCTAGACCGGCTTCGAATTTGCAATCCTTCTGCCTCCGTCTCCCAAGCAGCTGAAGCCAAGCACACGCTACTTCTTGGAGCACATCTCTTCAGCTACAAAATGAGTGAACACAGTGAAGCTCCTAAACGCATGCTAAGCACATGGCTGAGTTCCCCGGAAAAGACTGTTCCTACGGCTTCGGCCAAGTTTAAGGAGCGTGATTTAAGCAGCAGGAATTCCCGATCAAAGTTGCTTTCTTACATGCTGGCAGCCTGGAAGTTTAGTAGACTTCTTGTTCAGATACTCATTCCCATAGGCCCCTAGGTGTCATTTCGGGTCTCAGATTCTTCTCTTGCTTAACTTTGTGGCCAGGATGTGAAGGATCACAAATCGGCAGCCACTGAGGTACATGGTGACCTTGGATTTAAAATTCATGGGAGAGATTTTAGACGTATTTGGTGCCTATCAGCTAACCCATCCCTTCCACTTATTTTTTGAGGCAGACTCTCTTCAGACTGTAGTTCTTAGCTGCCTTCCAATGCAGGTAATCCTCCTGCTTCATCCTCGATGGTACTGAGATCACAGGTCTAAGCCACCACGGATGGCTGACTAGCCCTTCCAGGTATGCCCTGGGCCTTCAGAGCACTTCATACACCCTCACAGTTGTAGACATCTGAGTGGGGCACTCTCTCAGAAGTGAAGCAAGACAAGCGAGAAACACGATTTGGAGTATGAGGCCAAGATGGGACTTGGGGGTGGGCTGCTCCTAAGGGGTATGGTTTCCCTATGGTCATCGCCCTTTCTGCTTAGGACTTCAGCAGCACTCGGGAAAGCCCCAAGATGGAGTCTAGCCAGCCCTCACTGTCATTGCCTCTAGGGGCCCGAAGACTTCAACCCCAGCACCTGTCCTCTCCCCCACCTTCTCCTCAGAACACCACACTAGACTAGGGCCATAGGCTTCCTTCCTTACCCACCCTGGGCAGAAACCTACAGTACCTGCCTCGCAAACCTGCCAGCAGTTGGCAGCGGCTTCGTGCCCACCTGTCAGGAGGTTCCTTGAGTATAAAACGTGCCTAATAAATAGTTTAACATATAAGACACTTAGAAGTGTTCAATAAGCTCGGGTCCCTTTCTTATCCACTCCAGCGCCTTATTTCCAACCTCCGAGTCTCCACCACCACCTTCAAAGCGACCTGGCAACTTCCACGCTCGTTCATCCTTCTTTACTAGTTTGCAGCTAGCTGCAGAATAAGAGCCCTTGATACACTGGGCCCAGGCTTCCCTCCTGTGGTGTCAGCACGCATTAGCTGGGTCCTAGTCCGATCGGGCCCGCTCAGCGCAGCCCTCCCTCTCCGCCTCCCCTGGTCTCCAGCCCGGAATGCCATCTCCGCCTCTGCGCTCGCTCGCTCGGGCTTCCGGTCCGCTCCAGCCCCAGCTGGCCCATGACGCCTTTCTAAACAACAGCCCGGCTCACCATGATCGCCTGCCCCCGATTTTCTCAGTAAAGCGCCCTAGCCTCTCTCGGGCGGGAGCGTCGGAAGCGGTTTCCCCCAGGGAATCGCAATCCAAAGAGGATCACGACTGTCTTTGGAACTTTCCGGAATCCCCTGACGCCTGCGCTCCCCGTTCCGGCTCGCTGGCTGGAGGAGATGCGGTTGCAGTCGGTCTGAAGTGAGGGCGTGTCTGCTGCAGGTGGGGGGACGCGGAGGGTGGGAGGCCTGGGTCCGTGCCCTGGGGGCGTCCACCCGGGGAGGTCACTGGAAAAGCAGGGGCGTGGTTATTCGGCTTTAAGGAGGCCGCTCCGTGCCCCCCACCCACCGCAGGTGCATCCCCGAGGCTGGTAAATCCGGAAAGGGAAACTGAGGCCCTGCGGGAGAGTGACTTGTCCAGGATGACTGGGCGATGGGGCGTGCACAGGCCTGGATCCCCGGGGCTCCTAGAGAGGTAGAGGTGGCCGCGTCTCAGGACTCGGCGCCCGCCCCCCCCCAGCCCCGGCGGCCCGGG